AAGGATATCCTACAAAGGATATCCTACAAAGGATATCGTACAAAGGATATCGTGCAAAGGATATCGTACAAAGGATATCGTACAACGTATATCTAACAAAGGATATCGTACAAAGGATATCGTACTTAGGATATCGTACAAAGGATATCGTACAACGTACATCGTACAAAAGGATATTGTACAAAGGAGATCGCACAAAGGATATCGTACGAAGGATATCGTACAAAGGATATCGTACAAAGCATATTGTTCAAAGGATATCGTACAAAGGATATCCTACAAAGGATATCGTACAATTGATATCTAACAAAGGATATCCTACAAAGGATATCGTACAAAGGAGATGATAAAATAAAGTATACACCGCGCACCGCAGTACGCATTACGTACGCAGCTCTCACAAGTACGTACGGCCGTTACACGCGCCGGCCAGACGCTTCTGTACGAAAAGCCGCCATTGCGTGCAGCACGGAGACTCAGTGCGGCCGGAGTACGTGAACGTTATAGTTATATAGGTTATAGCAGGTGCTGTGTTATAGTTATATACCATCGCACTCGTTTTCTATGAACTCGAACATGACAACGTATAGAAAACGATTTAGAGTAGAAACTAAAATGTTCCGAGTTATCAATGAGCCCTGATGTATGGGAGAGATGTTAACATAGGTGATATGTTAACGCATTGCAGCGCGTGATAACACATGCAAAGCAAGGAACAACAATTAAATAATTCGAAAGAAAAATTCGAAATATTATGGGAAAAGTATTTCTGATAACCCATGGATGACTGAAGTCTGCGCCTCTGCGGTCGCGATTCGTTAGTCGAGACGCCAGCCTATAATATTGGTCATTTCTACGCATTATTTCATGTGTGGTAGCTAATTTATGCATATTTTATACTAATGTTTTGTATCGTTCACCTACGCACTAGAATACGACGCTCAAGACAAAAATTATCATTTACATGCGAGTTGAGATAACTTTCTCCTGGAGCGTCGAGGCGAATACAGAAAAATAATTAGCTAACAATACAATTAAATTCTAATTTGTGCCAAAGCAAAATCCATATTCCATATTATTTTCATACGTTGGCCATGAAATGTGCGGCACATTGAAAATTTATACAAAAACAACATCGAAAATTATTTGATTTAATTACACGTATATCACATTTGTTTTAGCAAATGAAGAATGGAAATGCTTCATATTGAAAAAGTTATAAAGGCAGATTCGAACTGAAAAACTCCATTGTGAGTTAGGATGAAAAATAAAATGCATAAATTTTGTAGCCAGATAATATCAAATGATAACATAGTGCAGATATTAGTGTTGCTTTTCTCTCAGAATGTGTGATGAGCATTGATCAAGCAGTTTACTTGGTAATGTTGGCTGTTAAACTGCTGCTGTTGCAACAGGTCTTACTTTAATTCACAGAAAAATAAATCTTCTAGTTGTTTGCATCGTAAGAGCTATTAATTTCCAAATATTGAAATAGTAATTATTTTGAAAATTTTCACCAATTCAACTCGATCGGAAAAAATTTTTATAGCTCATCAGACCTTTCAATACATATTCGAAGTTTTCAATTGTTTACAAAAATTTTCTGTCTCAGCCTTTTTTACGAGAATAAATATTCTTTTCATTACCCAGTACGTCTAAATGACTAAATGCAGGTAAAGGTAACGTCAATGAGCTTTGATTTAGTTCACCCTAGAATATCAGTCCATAGAAAATGATCGCTAAATAGAAAATGACATTATTCCAGCATAAACTACTATAAAATTACCGAAACTGTATGCCTTAATGCCTATTGAATCTCTTGCATACATTACTTCGACGGTCACACCGTTGAATAAGACTTACATCCCTAATGTATAAAAAGCGTAGACATGTCTTCAATGCATATAAAATTCAATAATAACTGCGGTTAATTATACCTTCACTGTGATATTATTGTCTGAAACTGATCGCTACAGAGGAAGGCCTAACTATAAGCCGCTATCTTTACATCGAAGTTCCTTTACTTTAGAGCACCAAGCCTCAAGCTGGGCTCAGCTGAATGGAATAAAATCTTTTTAGGTGTTCTACCAAGATAGATAACAGCACATTAATAGTACAAAAATTATCGTACAAAGGAGTTCGTACAAAGGATATCGAACAAAGGATATCGAACAAAGGATATCGTACAAAGGATGTCGTACAAAGTATATATC